GGCAGTTGTGTTGGTAAATGCTAGTACTGCTACTGGCAATAAATAAAAACTCCATTCTCCAAAGGGTTGATTTTAACCTGAATTAGCCTCTCATTTCCTTTGGGTGGATGCATACAGAAACAGTTGTGTCAGTAGAAAATTAGATGGAGGTTGGATTAGGAGTGAACTCCTGGAGATGAAAATGGGAAAGAAGGATAGCTTTTGCAGTCTCCTTTATACTGGTGTAATTGGAACTCAAATACAGCAGGTAGAAATATTTCAGTTAAAAATCAGAGCCTTAAATAAACAAAGCTCCTTATAGAGCCTTGAAGTGCTGACCAGCCTTTCCTAATACATTAATGTAAACACTTGAAATATCAGTTTAGATCTGAACAGAAGATACCTCTTCAGTAGTTTAACTAGTACGTGCTTGTTGTTGAAATTTGCATTTCTTTATGCCTCACCTTGGATGACTGTAAAAAGTGGCTACATGATCAGGCATAACTGTAAGGTCTAATTTAAATTAATGCCTTCACTACAGTAGGAGCAGAGTAAATTAAAGTGGTTGATTATGCTTTTTTATTTTATTGCCGATGGTTAAATTCACAACGTAGCAGTTACTGTTAGCAATCAAGCTATGGTATGCTGTGCCTGATGAAGTGAAACGTATTTCAGAGCTAAAAGCCAGAGTATCTTTCTAAGATACTGTTCTTCTAATCCAATCCAAGACTCCATATAATTCCAGGAAATAAACCAAGAAAGAGTTTATTTTGGCTTGAAGAGAGTGGAAGATGGCTATTGCGCCAGCTGTCCTGGGTGTCTTCCAGGCTGATGTGAATGGTGTGGGTGCCTGGCTCATCCGCCACAGGATGGTCATGGTCCTAATCTGCTGGCTAGAACCTGCCTGCAGTGGGTACCCGCTTCATTAACCGAAAGCTTTCCTGGAGATTGGCAGCCCAAAACCCAAAGCTGTTATGCAGAAGTTCCTGTACTGTTTTTGATGGTTGGTGTTTTTTTAATTACAGTGTTTCAAAGTATTTCCTCTAGATAGCTGGTTAGCCCTACTAGTAAGAAAGGAAAAAAAAAAGTATTTTTGCTTAATGCAAGGACTGTGTAATTTGTTCCTGAATTACTTTAATTTCTGGATGTACCTCTGCCCTTGGAGAGGCACTTACAGTGATTTAATTGTACTAGAAGAATTGGCTGATTAAAGCTTTCATATTACTTGTCTAGGACTGTTGTAACCACTGGGCTACACTGCATGAAAAGTGCTATACAGGCACACAAACACCACATCTCCTTCTGCAAGAAGTGATGAAGGTCCCACTAGAAACGTTTGCTATGCTTAGAGGGGCAAAAACATTGCCTTTGCTTACTCAGGTGAAACAGTTTATTTTTGTCTAAATGAAGCTTGGGTTTGCTACATAGTGGTAGAAGAGATTCTGTATATAAGAAGTAATAATTACAACTATTTCAGTTCTTGGGCTAGAATGGCTGTTTCAGAGACTTATACAGTGTATCTACTGAAAACCAAGGCAGAGACCTGAGCCTGTTGTGGGGTAGCGCAGAGTATAAAATTCTTGCTAGTACAGGATCTGACTTGATGGAGAATGTTGGCTACCAGTGAGGGAGAATGCCTTTCCCCAAGAGGTGGTGTTCTGGTTTTATTGTGGGGTGGAAGAATAGGAGAAACATGTAAAACTGATGGATGGCTGAAGGAACAATGCAGAACCTGAAAAATGAAGAAGTTCTGCGCTGTGGAAAAGGGCTCCGTTTTCATATTTCAGAAGTGTACTGTAAATATCCCACTTCAATAGCAAGCCATAAGCCAGTAGAGGGGTACTTGAGAGCCTTCATGTAGAGGAAGCTCAGAATTTTTAGCTTCTTTGCAAATAAAACTTTAAAAAGGGTAAAATTAATGTCTTTAATCCTGAAGCTTTGATGGAGCCTTATTAACACTGTTGACTAGAAAGCACATTTATATTTCATTAGAATATAGCTCTCATGATAAAGGTGACTTAAGAGGGGAAAATGAGCTTGCGCACTTCTCTATGGCTTATAAAAATGCATTAAAATTGTTCTTGCTTAACCTTAGAAATAAATAGATTAAATGCTCTCTTCCTTGGTTTGGTAAAAGGTCTTGGGGAATCAAGTAGCTGGAGCAGAAGATAACTTTGTTTTTAACTGTAAGCACTTGGCTTTAGATTTGCTGTGTGTGTTTATACCTTGCTGGTTTCTGATGGCTTCCACAAATGTGCTGAAACATAACAGAAATGCAGGCTCTTGTCTGAAGGCTTACGAGGGCTGGCATTTATTGCTTGTCATGGCTCATGACGTGTTTCTTATCTGTTAGAGATGGTAACTAAAACAAGGATGAAAAGCAGCAAACAGCCTAAGGCTGGAGGCTTCAGCCAGTGGCGTAGCTACACAGCTACATCTGTACGGATCAAAATCTGTCAGGGAGATGCTCTGAGCTGGTGTTAATCCCATCCACAAACAAGATCCTTTGCACTCCTGCAGGTGAACCTAGCTGCACCCCATGGCATTGCCCAGCAAACTCCTTTAATTTTATATCTAAAGGAATTTCTATAACTTTTTTCGCGTAAAGGACAGTTAGCAAGAGCATGGCTCTGGTCCTTGTGTTTCTGAATACAGGGGCTAATGAAATTGATAGCTGGCAGAGTATTGATGAGAGTGGCAGCAGCTTCTCCCCAGGCATTGTGGGAGCAGCGGCAGCGCTGTGGGTGCTTCTCCCTCCCACTGTGAAGGGCAAGGCAGCCACAAAAGCCCTAGCACTTGTCTGTAGTTTTGCTTACTCTTAAGAACAATATTCAGGCTTCTGCAATACAGTTAGATACTTTTTAGTAATGCCATTCTTAAACTGACAATCTCTATTGATTTTTTTTTAAAAAAATTGATCATTCACATTTTACTTATAATAATTTTGCAACGTATTAACATTATATTTGCGATCTTTTGGATTACCTCCCCTCTATTTTGACATGTATCTATGCGTATCCCACCCTTCTGCTTTTCTTTTGTATTGCTTCTGTCAGGGGTTAACTGCCTATGTGATTTGCTCAGTATTTTTATTTTGTGGCAGACAATTCAATATGAAGCAGTCACTGGGGCTTGAGCTTTGCCGACATGAATGAAAAGCAAGCTGTGAACAGCTATTCCTGTTCCCAGCCGCTGCGCCACCTCTGCAGCACTGCTGTCAGAGCTGATTGCGTGACTCGGCTCTAACGCACCCCAGGCAATGTCAGCCCGGTTAAAAACATGAGAACAGCCAGGCTGAGTCGGGTTAAAAGTCCATCCAGCTCCGATCGTACTGGGAGTAATGAGTAGGGGACGCTTAGAGTAGCGAAACAAAGCAAGTACAAACAGTCCTTC